TCAGATATCAATTTAAAAATTTTAATAAAATTTTTTCCTATTCTTTGCAATTCAAAATTTAAAATCAGACCAGACATAGGCAGCCTGTTACTGTGTACCAAGTTTCCTGTCTGTAAACCAAGAAAATCCGTTTTATTTTAAAATATTATTTTTATAGCCATGTCTATTAAACACTTCTTGACATAGTTTAATTAAGTTCTAAGTTACTAATTTATTATTAACTGAATGTATCAATGATAAAAAATAAATAAAATTACCTTCCTGCATCATGAGGAAAACTGAAAAAACTGTTATCTGAATTTTTTTTTCTTTATAATTATGGCAATTGTAAGATACGTTTCTTTGTCACATAAAATAATAAAAATTTGAACATTAAAAATTGGCAAAAAAAAAAAAGACTAACTAGACTTTTAAAGGACTGTGACCTGATACATCAATCAATTTTCCCTTTTTCTCACTCTCTCTTTTCCTAACTTGAGTGTCTAAGTGATGTAAAATGCTAAGAATAGATTTTGGCAACTGAAACTAGTTTTTTTTTTTTTTATGAAGATTGAACCAGAAAAATGATTCTATTTATTACTATGCAAAGTATGGCCTGGATATGTTAAAGAAAAAGTATAATGAAATTTTGATTGATTAAAGTTTACAATAATTTTTAAACATTTTAAAGAAAAATCATGATGATGATTTGTTGTTGAAATTAAATAAAATTAATAAATATATTCAAGTATATTTATTACATTATTTCTACTTTCTGCATTTATTTAAAAAATATGAAAATAGTTGAGTTAATAAAAAAAATAATTGCAATTTACAATTAATTTTAATATTATTCTATTTTAGTTAAAATAAGTAAAAAAAATAAAGAAAAATTTATGTAATATGTTCTGACATACATAATGCCATTTTTTGCATTTTTCTCCTTAAAGTAATGAATATAAACAATCAAATTACATGTAATACTATGTATGTTTATTTTATGAAAAATTTTGTTGCATATTTAATTAAATAGCTTTTTTACTCTAATGACAGCAGTGAATATGTTAGCAATTGAAAGTCTATTCTAAGTATAAATTAAGATATAAATAGGATTTTTCAAAAAACATTTTCTTAAGATTTTAGGCTTTCACAAAATTTAGGCATTGTGATTTAATATTTTATAGCTTCTTCTTTATTTGAACTTTATGTGAAATAAAAAAGAATTTATTAAATGTATAATCATTTAGTAAGAATAGAAGATACATAGATCTTTAAAAACAATGTTTATATACTTTTTAAATTTTATAACGAACTTCTTACATTTAAAATCTAAGCATAAAAAAACACTAAAGGTCAACAAAAAAAGAAAAAGTGAGTAATGGATTTTCATAGATTATGTAACACTATTTTTATACTCTTCAACTACCATTCCATTCCTGTAAATCACCATAACACTGTCACATATACTCATTCCCAAAATTACATAATGCATATCCTCAATAAACCTGCTTAATTGTATGTACTAAGGAATAATAGAGAGAACAGGATATGATGTTACATAATTTTATTAATTATATGTATAACCTACAAAGTAGTAACATAAACAGTGAGGTTTACTATGCTACATTTTAGAAACAAAAATTAATTTTTTTTATTATTTAAGGGTTTTGTTACCTTATTCATGGTATCTCAACAGTTGTCACTCATGAAATCAAAAACAGCTAATATGGGCAAATAAAATACTAACACAGAGAAATGCTCACTAAACACATAGGTTTAGATCCCACTGAGAAACATGAAAGACATAAATGCACATCATCAGAACAAGTGGGGAAAATTCTATACATTACCAAAACATTTTTAACCAAAAGCAACACTTTCAGACATGGTACTTGACTTGTGATCACTACCAACTGACTGCCAGAATTCTTTAGTTGTGATTTCAATTGCTCATTTTTTCTTTGAAAATTCAGAAAGATTTTATAATGCTTGATTTGTTTTATGTGATTAATGATGACAAAAAAAATGAATAAAATACAAATTTTAGATAATTTTCAAATTTATGTTTGAATTTTTGTTGATGTTCAAAGTAAATTATTATTATTATTATTTTTGAATAATAAAAATAATAAAAGTTTTCAGAAAATTTGAATAAGGTTATCAGATGAATTTGTTTGTTGCACTCAAATATGTTGGAAACTCAAGGTACATTTATTACACTTAATTATGTTGATTACACATGAACATAAGAACAAAGAAATACATTAAATACAGTGATATAGAGCAATTCATCACATACTTAGATTGACCACTAACTCTTGCCTCTCTTCGAAATACATGATCAGAATGTCAGTTAAGTGGGAAAGATGAAAAGGGACAATGACATCCCACGCCAGTAAAATAAAATGAAGATCATAGATACATTTTTGATTGCAATAAAACAAAGAATAAACTACCTGTACACAACTTTGACATCTTAACACATACAAATTTAACATCTTACAAGGTTTATGAAAAACATGGAAGTGCAACAAATATCAATCAGCTGATGATTGAAGTTGCATCTTGTTCAGTGCTGTGATCATGCTAGTATTATCAAATAATTTATTTGCATGGAATATCACATAATTTTGTCATGGAATAAATGAATACATTTTTAAACTCTTTTATTTTACATGCCATTTTAAAATCTTTTTCAATTAAATTGCTTTAGTCACATTTAAAAATTATTCAGTAACTAACAAAAAATACTTCCAGCATTCTATAAAATTGATTAAACAAACAACTCTACTTAAAACCAATACATTGTATTACCAAAGCCAACCACTACCATATGCTATCTGGCTAAATAATGGCTATAATATTAATAAATTACAAAACAGTTTGACACTAGAGGGAGGCATTAGGTGCCATCTCTTAATAAATTTAATAATTATAATTTTTAATTAAATAATTTAGATTTACAATTACACTACCTGAACTGGAGGTTTGAGTAGCATAATGGCAATGCATCCATATGGTAAGTGGCAATTGTGAGTTTGAGTCCCACTTCAGGCCAATTCTTTTCTTTCAATAAATCTAAATTATTTATGATGATGATTATGAATGTATGTCTCTTTAATCTGACAAATTAAGTTTGGTAGACTATCAATACAGCTTTCAGGTTAGACACTTCTTTTATTGTTTTCACATATGCATTTCAGGCTTATATAAATGCTAAGCCCCTCTTCAGTGCAATACAGTAGTCTTGAAAACTCGGCACTTGATAACCCAGCAGTCCTGATAACTCAGCCACACCCTGGCAGGGCAAAAAAATCCTTAGTTAATTGATTTTCATTATAGACAGCTTTATGCCTCATAAAGTATTTTTCTGAGGTGTGTCTTATCAGGTAAATTACTGTACACAGTGTATTCATTAATTTTCATTTTCATGTAGTAAAGGCTCTATGCCTTCATAAAGGACGTACTTTTCCTTTGTTTAAGGGTATTTGGGCAGTTTATTCTCTGTTGTATTCTCAAGTAAACAATACATACAAGTACAGTACAGTATTTTCTGAGGAAACACTCATACTTATTTCTTTTAACCCCATTCCTGATAACCTGGCATTTTCACAAACTCGGCCACCCTTCGGTCCACATTAGGCTGAGTTTTTGAGACTCTACTGTACTACAAATTATTACAAAAACAACAGTTAGTGATTTGACAAAATTTCTCGCATGTAGGTCATATTTACTGACATAAAACTATCATACAAAGTATTAAAAAGTATACAAAGTATACTAAATTATTTAATTAAAAATTATAATTATTAAATTTATTAACAGATGGCACCTAATGCCTCCCTCTAGTGTCAAATTGTTTGGTAATTTATTAATATTATAGCTGTTATTTAGCCTGATAGCATATGATAGTAGTTGGCTTTGGTAAAATTGATTAAGTGAAAAACACCAAAACTGTAACTGTAACAAAGTTTTTTGGCAGTCAGTTGTTCTGGTGGTCAGTTGTTGGTTGACACTTGATAGGATATCAATCAACGAAAGTCAGTTACATTGTCACTCTTAAACAAAAACTAGCAACCAAATCTCAGACTAAAACAATATAAAGTCCACACACTACATAAACCATAAAATAAATTATTAACAAATAATAAGATATTTTTCAACAGACAACTTCATACCAGACCAACTACAAAATCACAGCACAGTGATGTGCTAACAAAAAAAACTTTGAACCAAACTGCAGACCAATAGTCTATCTAATCACACACAAACATAAGCAAGCTGGATCAAAGAGAAAAAAAATCATGCATGAAACTCCAATCATGCTCTGTGTCAGAATAAACATACACAACATTCAACAAACAGTACAAAAGAATACATAATAGGAAGACACCTGGTACAGATATTTTCAGTTTTTGGTACAAAAAGTTTGTATCTCTGTATTTGGAACTAGCAAACTATTTTGTATGCATAATCAACAATGCAGGTGCTAAAATTTCTTACATAGAACATCATATACATGAAACCCAAAGACAATAACACCAGAGGTCCTACACAATACTGATTAAACATATGCATTCCTATACCCTACAAAATACTCACTTCAAATAAAATATACCACAACATAGTACAATATTATCACAGCAACAAAAAAGCTATGATAGAAACTACATGAGTTGCAAAGAATAATTACATTCTATGACAAGCACACAAACAGTATAGAAACCTATAGCATACATAGATGATAGAAAAGCATTCAATAGCATTTCACACTCTGTTTGTGCATATGCTACAGTAAAAGTCCAAAGTCAGGTAAATCTTACCAGTAAATCTGAACATTTACAGATTGTTGTTAAATGACTGGCTTTTCTTATAATTTATTGGTTTGGGTTATTGAAATTCTCTTACTAATATTTATTACTATGCTGTTTTGATAAAATAAACTTGTTATTTTTAATAAACATGTAAATAATATTGCATTTTAACCATTAATAATTATAAATGAAATTTTAATTTTACAGTTGTGATGATATTGAAAAAGTTCAGTTATCTGAATTAACAGTGAATCCAGGTCAAGAAAAAACCAGTCCAAAAGATTTTGAACTGTTAAAAGTTTTAGGTAAAGGTGGATATGGAAAGGTAATTAGATTTGTTAACAGCCAATTAATCAAAAACTGAAGAATATAAGCTTTAAGAATTTATAATCTAAAGCAAAATTTATATCATATCATTATATCAATAGTAGTTAAGTTGATGTCATGAATAGAAAGTTAACTTAATATTTTATTTATTCAATATAAAGCTGTAAATTTAAATTGAAAAATATTGTTAATAATTAATATGCATTTTCTGCTTATGAAGCCATATTGACCAAATTAGAGTTGTTCTTGGTCTGCTGCTGTTATAATTTGGAAGCACTTCGATCTAAACAAATGAGTTAACATATGCATATGACATTTGAATGGAATTTTCACTTTAAACTTTGAAGTAGGCATATTTCAAACTAACCAAATACTTTAACATGTAAATCTCTATATTCCTGGCTGGAAAAAATAGTGTGGTTATGAACTAATGGGATTTTGAACTATCCAAGTTCGAATTAACAAGGATTTTATGTACATTATTCTGAGTTTTATCTTTGGTTTTCATGATAATTTTTTGTTTTTTTTAATACACATTCACTTAGTAGAATGTGTATGCATACATGCATACACATTTTACTAAGAGCATTAAGAGAGTATAAACAGATTTTCATATTTTACTTTTATAGTTGGTAAATGAATTTCTGAAATTTGTAAACTTTTAAGTGCATATAAAAGTTGTTTTCAAATATTTTTCTAATTATAATTATAGTCAATAACTTATATTTATATCAATAACATATTTGATTGATTATGAATGTTAAACTTTTGGCTTTTTAGGTTTTTCAAGTTAGAAAAATTACTGGAAAAGATAAGGGAAATATTTTTGCTATGAAAGTTTTAAAGAAAGTGAGTATGTTTAGTAAAATAAATATAAATTAATTCACACCAAACCTGATGGTTTTCTCTAGTTTTAAATATAATGAATCAGCAATAAGAGAGTCTTGTTTGTCATCTTGCAAGAAGCAGATATGTCCTTTCTGCAGCAAACATTTGCTGCAGTAGTTTACTTGTTCATCCTAATTCCATTTTTTTATTATTTTACTTACTTATTCACTGCTTAGTTTGCAATTAATTATATATACAGGAAAGGGAGATACTTTTTACTATACTAATAACTAAGACTTTTGTCTTTAATATTCTTAACATAAATCTTAAATTACAGACATTGAGGATAAGATATTGCATTTATATTAATCTATAATAAATTAAATAACAACTCTGATAGTAGAATATTCTCCTAGTAGAAATGTTCATTATTTTTTTTATTTTCAAATGGCATTCTTTACTTTTTTACTGTTACAGATTAGCTTACATAATTTAACCATGATAAACATTTCCTTAAAAATAAAAATTCTTTGTGCACCTTTTTGATTTATGAAAATATAACACTGTTCTTCTTTTCTTGTTAATGTATATGCTATGCTTTAACAAGAAAATATGATGTTGCAATAATTGCAGATTGATAAATTAGTTTTAAAAATATTTTAAATATTTTACATTTTGTTTTTGAAATCGTATTTTTAGAAGTTAGATTTTAATTAATAGAAGTAATATTTTAAATAATTGTATAAATATCTTCAGAATCTCTTTGATAAATTTAAACAGTTCATTTTCTTCTTTACATGCATTGATTGTATTCATACTCTTATGAATAAATAACCAAATAATGCTTTAATGGAGTTAAATTATTCTCAACAAGTTTTGTTAATATTATTTGTAATAATTTTTTATAATGTATTTTTGTATCAACACTATGTATTTTATATATTTAATTAGTTTTTTATATTTTTTTAAATTTCACAGAATTATTTTGAATTTGAATTATTTAGAATTTTCACAGTAAAACAGTATTCTATTTAGAATATTTAGTTTTTAGAGTATTTGGAAGATGGGCTACTAGTCTGAAAATACTATTAGCATAACATGCAAATGTAGTTTAAATTCCATTGAAGCATTATTTGGTTATTGTTTTGTATTTAGTTAAAAAATTAAATATAGGTAAAGCTCTCAATAAATTGTTCTTTAATTTAAATTGGGTTCCCAACCTTTTTCTTGCATTGACTCCCATATAGAAAATATTCTTACTAATTGTGACTCTCTTAAAATTTTTTTCTAAGATTTTGTAATATAGTAAATAAATTAATTAAATCAGTTAATAAATTTCCCAAATCATTGTTGTTATTCTTATTTAAAATTATCTGAAATTTATGAAAAAGTACAAATTCCAGGGAAGTATATCAACCTTATTTGGAATCTCTGATTTAAATTAGAGAGTTGATCTTTAGTACAGTGTATACATAGTCATTCTGTAGTTCCAAACTGTTATAACATTGTAAAGAAACATGATAGTAGCATGAGATTAGTGTTAAATGAAAAGCAATTTTTCAAAGTTGTTTTTACATTGTTGTGTTGTAAGTGGGGATGTGAATGGTTTTGTGCTCACTAGCCAAGGTGCCAAGTCAAGTATTTCAGTCAAGAGAAAAGTGAAGTACATTCTTTGATTTTCAAACTTGAATCTAACTTTTGTGTAACATGAATACTTTTGCATGGTTAATATAAAACTGCCACACAAAAATAACATTTACTATTGGGATAAACAACTGAAAGAAACACAAAAGCAGTTAGACAAAATATTTAGACAGACTGTTAATGATGAGCCTGTTTAAGCTGTTCAAGAAAGTTGTCTTTGTAGACCAAAGCGATCAATGTGCATATATGCTTAACAGCAAGGACTTGCAAAAATAAGTTTATAAGGTTTTGAAAAAACATTTGCATTTTACTGGTTATAAACTTCAGTTATTATATGCAATCTGCCAAGTGATATGAACAAAAGATAGGATTTTGCTGCAGATATTCTCAATTAGATTGAAAGTTATGAACTGTTTTTGAATAGGATAGTGATCAGTGATGAAATAGCATTTTATGTATTCAGGATATTCATTGAAAACTTCAGGATATGAGCTAATGAACAAATATATGCCTTTTGTTGAACATGTCTGAAAGTTAATTTGTCATGAGCATAAGCTGAATAATTGGCCTCCTTTTTTTCCTTCATGGAGCTCACTGTAATGTCACACAACTATGTTGATATGTTGGAACTGTATGAAGTGTCAGAAATTGTGAGTGAAAATGTCATCATTCAGCAAGGTCTACACTTTTTCCAATATTACTCAGAAGTTCCTTGATGAGACACTTCTATAATGATAGATCAGAAGAGGATGATGGAAGGTATGGCCAGCAAACTCTCCTGATTTCATATCTTTGGATTTTTACTTTTGGGTTTATGTCAAGCGAAATTCTTATAGTATGTACATTAATGATGTTGAACATTTGAAACAAAGGATCACAGAAGCTATCTTATTAGTCATACTTAATATTTTCAGTCATGTATAGGAATAAGTGGTGCATTTCTTAAATTATAGTTTGCAGAATAACTAACAGAGCTGACATCAAACTTCATTAAATGTTAATAAAAAGTTTGAGATTCTATAATTTGGTGCATATTTAATTTCTATATTATGTTTGTCTAAAACTACTCACTTGTATGGAGGTAGTGTGTAATTGTATCTGTGAAAACAATGCATACATGGAGCCATGGAAAGCAGTTTAAAATAGAGATCTGTTCCATATTCTCAACTATGGAATTTGCTCTTATTGGGATAAAAAATATTTAAATAAAATTTTTTAAAATATATGTCTATATAAGAGGTTACTGATAACAAAAAAACACACTTTTTGATGTAACTATCATTTATTTCCATAAAGCTGATTTGTTTAAAATTAAAAATTTTTAAACTTAAAATGAATTCATATAAATGAGAAATTACTGTATAGTAATTTGGAACTCCACTGACTTAATGAATGCATTGTATTAAAATATAATAAAAAAATTTTTATAGACAAAAGAAAGCTGTTTCAATATTTATTATATTTGTTTGTATAACTTAATTTAATAAAAAGTAAATACATTTATTTTAGGCAACAATAGTTAGGAATCAAAAAGACACTGCACATACAAAAGCAGAAAGAAATATATTAGAAGCTGTAAAGGTAAAATATTGTAAAGACAATATGTTATAACATTTAAAAAGTTTTAAATGCTTTTTTTATAATTAATGAATATTTTTGTAGCATCCATTTATTGTAGATCTTATTTATGCCTTTCAAACTGGAGGTAAATTGTATCTTATCTTGGAATATTTAAGTGGTGGAGAATTATTTATGCATTTAGAAAGAGAAGGTATTTTTTTAGAAGATACAGCATGGTAAATGATTATTTAATTAGATAAATTGATACAATTTTAAATATTTGCAATTAATATGTTTTTATTTCAACTTCAGCTTTTACTTATCAGAAATAGTATTAGCATTAGAACATCTTCATCAAGAAGGAATTATATATCGGGATTTGAAACCTGAAAATATTTTATTAGATGCTCAAGGTTTGATAATTTAAATATTAATTTTTTCATAAGTCATAAACTATTTTTATATATTAGTCTAAGTTATATGTTGTTTCACAAATTTTACAAAAAAAGTGATAATGAATTGTTTTTCTTATATGAATAAGAGTATTTTTAATACCAAATATTTCAATTTAATTAAATTCATTTTCAAAGTTTTTTTAATGGATTTATATATTTCTATTTAAAACATTACAAAAGTTTGATGTTTTGTAACATCCTAACATTGAACTTTTGTTTTTGTCTACAGTATTTGAACATTATTTGAAAATAAGAATCAATATTTTTAATACAAGGGGTGACAATAAAGTTCAGTGAATGACCAAAAAAAGAATGATTGTATTGCATAAGAAAAACAAAACTTTTCTGGTGTTCAAAGTAATCACCCTGTGATACAAAGCACTTTTGACAACATTTGTATAAATATGTGATAGCAAAAAATCTTTTGCTATCACCTTAATGATTGATGTCATGTTCGCCTGGATGTCTGGAATGTCTGCAAATTTCTGTCCCTTCGCAGACAGCTTTTAATCTTGGAAACAAAAACAAGTCAGCTTGAGCCAAATCAGGTGAGTAAGGCAGATAACTCAGCTCATGTAATCATGTGCGTGCACAAGCTATAGGTTTCAAACAGTCAGAAACAAGTCTGAACTTGCTTAGTTCACTGTTTGGGCTGTACTCTGCAAGCAGTTTTACTTTCTAAAATCATTCACCTTAACAGTAACATTTCCATTCACTGAACTTCATTATCACACCTTGCAGTTTCCATCATTGGAATTTCATGTTGCTAGCCTTCAGGTTATGTGTGTTTTGAAGGTCAGTTTGAAAGTTAGTACTGGTTATGGAATAACCAGTTGATTTTAACTCTTACTTAGGGGCTCATCAAACAGCTGCAAACTTAGAACAGTCAATAAAAAAAATCAATATTTAAGTATCCTATGATTGGCTAATCTGGGTCATACAAGATTGTCATTGGTTGAATTGTGAATAAGCTGAATCATATTAAGAAGTGTGGGAAACTGCTCACTCAGCTGTTAGAATCCTGAGACTGGCTATCACATTATCTCTGGTCACAAGAAAACTTTCTTTCAGAGATATACAATACTCTACAAATGCACATGTTATATCATCAATTGATCTGATTTTGCTTTTATTGTAATAAGCAACATTCAAGTTTTCAATAATTTATTTTCTTTTCCTTGCTTTTTGCTCAAATTGTTCAGATTGCTTTTTAAAGATAATTTAATTTGATGATTTTGCTTATAATAAAATATACAGTGGGTGATCGAATATAAAAATCTTTCATGAAAGATTTTTATATTCGGATAATGAACATGTGTTCGTATAACAAACACTTCACAAAACATACAGAAAAAGAAGCGACATAAAATAGTGAATACTGATTGGTCTTCCCTTGTCTCCAGGTGACAATTCGAAACTTTTTGGAGATCTGGAGATGTTGACATCAATGCTCAACCCAATACTGATTGTATAGTATTCCTCCAAATTTTGAAACTCTCCTTTGTAATTCAGCTTTTTGTTTACCTTTCTGACAAATAATTTTTTATAGTCTTCGTGAGACTGTCAGACAGGTACTTGTTAAGTTTTGCATCAGTTTTTATTTACAAGAGGCGAGAGTTTAACTATCTCATCAGAAGATATTCATTAATGTTTTAATACCAAATTTCAAATTTCATCCAGGCTTTGCATTTAAATAATTTTTTGTGCGCTAGTTGATTTCTGTTCTCTGAATTTTTGTAATTGCTTTTCTGAATTTATTATTTAAAAAAGAAACTGATCACTCTTTTTATGCTCCAAAATATTGAGTGTGCTCACTATAGAAACTAAGCAACGTATAATAACCAAAGTAGAGAGTGGGCAGAAGATGTCTGATGTTGCTAGGCAGTATGGCTTGAACAGGTCTGCAGTAAACACAAGCTTAGCTATGAAAGATAATATATCAAGAAGTCTCAAGCAATTAAAGATCTTTTGAGGAAGTGGGAGGATGTCAGAACAATGGGCATCCAAATGGCATCCAAACCAGAATGAGGTTAATAGGTTTGGAGATCTCTACAATTACAATGCTATTAATTACTTCCAAAAAATCCTGAAAAAGAGAGAAGAGCAATCGATGTTGGACAGATTCTTTAACCCCCACAAATGGGAAAAAACATCTAATAAAAATACAAGACTGTGTATATATGTATTTTTATTATTACATATATTCTTTCTTACTACATTTATTTGTATTTTTTATTTTTTGGAGTCTCCAGAATGAATTAATCAAATTTCCATAAAAACCTATGGTAAATTGATAATCAGTTAATGAACAATTCAGATAGCGAACAAAGTCTTGGAATGGATTATGTTTAACTGATCACCCACTGTAATTCAGATTATTTCTTCCAAAAACATTATATGTTATAAAAATGAAACTATTTAATTGTTTTTGTGAATTTAATTTTGTAATACAGGTAACCCCTGTATAACACGGGAGTCATGTTCCAAAAAATTGTCGTGTTATGCAAATCAGTGTTATATGAAACAAAGAACTAGTGTGAAAAGGGGGGTTAGGTTCCAAAAATTAAAAATTATGCTGTTAAATCCTTATTTAAATCGGATTTATTATTCATTTTTTTCATAGGTAAAATACTTATTTATTATTTAAGTAAATATTTTACCAGAGGATTATTCATCCTATATGATGATCTCAGCATGAGCATCATCAACTGGTAACAGTTTTTGGGTGCGTTCGTTAATAGCAGTCGCTCTGCAACAGGAGTGTGCTGCTGTTTGTAGGCATTTAGGAACGACAGTGAAAGAAAGATGACAGTGCCCGCACTATTGATAGTATAGTGATGGAGGAATCTATAATTCTAAAATGAGCTTTTAGAGGCAAGAGAAGGGTCTCAATTGTAAAATTTAACCATTAAAACGATTATTTGTTGAAAGAGCATTCAAAGTAGCCATGAAAACAATTAGAATGCTTGCGCGGAGGTATAAAAGAATGCACCCTTTATTACATTTCATGTTGTATGAGGGATTTACCCAATTCCTGAACCATGTTAGAGTGAACCCATGCTATAAAAACATAAAAGCACTGTGTTATACGGATGTTCCCAATTCGACCGTGTTAGAGTGAATCCATGCTACAGAAGTGCCGTGTTATACGGGGGTTACCTGTACATGATAAAATTTATGAAGATAATCTCTCTGAATTTGCTTATCATTACTTTGTTTATCAAGTTTAATGAAAATTTTTATTTAAAATTTTAACTTACAGACAGAATTGTTAATAAATATGGTGTATATAATTTTATTTAATTTTACTATTAATAAAATATTTCTAGGTCATGTTAAATTAACAGATTTTGGATTATGCAAAGAGTCTATACAAGAAGGAACAATGACACACACATTCTGTGGGACAATTGAATATATGTAAGAACAAATTGTTACATACTTAAATCATTCTTACAATTCTTACATTTGAACTTTTTTCAATATTCAAATTTTATAAATGAACTTTTTTGTATGTATATATATATATTATATATATTAAGATTTGATTTTTTTCAATTAGGGCTCCAGAAATTCTTACAAGAAGTGGTCATGGAAAGGCAGTTGATTGGTGGAGTCTAGGTGCACTTATGTATGACATGCTCACAGGAGCAGTAAGTAGCAATTTTTTTTATTTTACAGATTTATTGAACTTTAATGTTTTTTTAGTTTAAAAATGGGAAATTATTTTATATTATTAGAAAAACAAAAAGATTGAAAATTGCAGATTTATATGATTAGGCATTGTTAATCACTTTTCAGTTAATAATATGAATAAAATTTGACTTATAAGAAATGCTTTTCAGTTTACTGAAAATGAATTTCAACAAAATAATGTAATTTCAATGCATTATTGAGATTGAATAGCAGTGTCTGTGAGAACCTGGGGCTAGGGAACAATTTAAAGGCTAGTAAGATTTAATTTTAGTAGGTAATTAGATTTATTTTACAAAAGGGAAAGAAAGACAAAATTTTATCTAGTATCAACATTTCTCCTTTGTTTCCAGTGATTCAGAGGATGTTTGAAATTCTTGCTAGATTGAAAGTTAGTCAGAATATGACTGCATCAGGACTGGTCATCATATTTTCTATAAAAGGTGGAAACCTTCATCCATCTTGGTTTTTAATCACCCTATTAGCCATTGTGCCTTTGTCTTGGGTCAGACGATATGAGCCCATCTGCATTCCTACCTCCCCATTGCGTTCTTGTTCATTCCTAAAATAAACAAGAAGAAACTCATTGGTAAATATGAAACTTATGTAAGGTTTCTCTCCCATAAAAAGGATTAGGAAGTGTTTAGCTAAATAAGTAGTTTTAATATTTTGTGGATTGAGGTTAATCCCAAGTATTTAGCCAATATATCTAGCATTGTTGTGTTTGAGTTTTTTAGCTTTTTATAATAATTTGTATGCATTTATATATACCTTATGTATCCTTTATAATAATCCAGATTTTGCTGTAAATAAATAGTGAACTTATTTTTGGGATTTGTCTGCTTCTATCTCACCGATTGACATGACCCCTTTGCCACTCAGGTTGGCCCCTTGAGGCAAAGTAATTATTAGACATCACCACTCTGACATATAATTAAAAATAGATTATAACTGCGAGTTAGAATGTGAGCATTATTTATCCTAACTGGTGTTAGGACTCACATAGACAGAGATCTCATGATCTTTAATTTTCCTTAAGTTTAGGTAGAAATTCATAGCCATCCTGTACAATGGATGAGGTCTTACAGACCCCAATCTCACTTTTCTAATATTAGCATTCATCTATGTATAGACAAAATTGAATATGAGAAACTTTTTTGATATGTTTCTCTAACATCAAAAAAGCTATAGGTTAATAAAGTGTTGGTGTGGTAGCTTGTATATGAATTTGTTGCTTAGAAGTGATAATTAGTAAAAGTGAAAGCAGTTGAATTCTAAGTTTAAGAACTAAGAATTCTAAGGCCACAATGTTAGACAAGATCATTTAAAGCATTTTTAGTCGGTTTGAAGATTATTAAAAATAAGTTTGGTTAACCTGTACTAAATAGGTTTTCTCTGAATGTACTTAAACAAAGAAACATGACTAATACCATCTAGTCTCACCTTGTTTTATCCAGTTTAACCTACATAAAATAGTGTTCAATGCCAAAAAACTTATTTTTTTTTATTTGAAACTAGAAAACTTTTATATTTTTGATATGAAAGAAATTGAAATAAGTCAGATGAAAAATTTGTATGTTTTTCAAATTGAATTTTCAGCTAATCCTAGTAGATGGTCAAAACTTGATATATTCATTCAAATAAAATTTTTAAATTTTTATTTATTCCATGATAGCTCTTTTATAAACTCAAAAATTACATAATTTGTCTTTATCTGGAATAAAAGGTAAACACAATGATTTCTCTTTTTCTTGCTTTTATATGCTGATCATTTCAGATAATAGGAAAAATATTATCATCATATTCAATAGGCAGCATTATTGAAGATTACTTCTTTATTGTCTTTGTCTTGTTTTAGTGGTTTGTGTGGCAAATAGTTAGAAATCAGTTTTATCCAATTCTGTCTAAAGATAATACTTCATTATATTTATGTAATAAAGTAACTTTAGATCTTATATATAAATATTTACATAAAAAAAAAAAGCTGATGAGGGACTTAAGATGCGAAATGCATTCTTTTTGGAAAAATAAAGGGATTTTCTAAGGCTGATCTTATGTCCAATGATGATGTAATAAGTCTAGCAATAAAGAAGGCCAACATAGTGCTCACACATATATAAGTCTTCAGAACTTCAGTCTTTTTGTCTAATCAGGTTAGATTTACTAAAAATTCATATAAATTAGAAAATTCTTTTATCACAAACAGCAATGTTGTAGCATTGAAATTACTAAAATATTTTTAAAAATAAATGGAAGAAGATTTCAGAGAATGATATTTTATATTTACTAGTTAAGATATTTTCTGATTTAAATTATACATTACAACATTTTATTGATTTGAATGTGTACCATGAATGTGAAATCAAATTTCAAGTTTTTTTTATGGAAGGAAAAATTTTTAAATAATTAACTTCATGTTTTGTTAAATAATAACAAATTAGAAAAAAAATATAAATGCCATGAAAATAGGCCACTTTTTATGGCTTCTGCTTTTATATTAATATTTCTTTTAATGCTGCATTATAATGTTATAATAAAGACATATTAGGTGTTAAAAAGATATTTAAATTAAATGCTTATTATCAGGAAAGATTATTTGAACTGATATTGCCATATAGTATTATATGTGTATGTGCATGTGTATAAGAAGTAAATTTAAAGCAGTACTACTATTTAGAATTTATAAAGTTTAAACATTTATGCAGCTTAAACTCAGTCATCAGCCTAAAATAATGAAAACTTGAAATAACAAAACTTTCAAGTTTATAAAATTCTAAAAAGAATATATTTTTAAGTTATATGTAATTTAAATTTATTATTTATTAATTTAAAATATTTATTTATTTAGCCTCCATTTACAGCAGAAAATAGGAAGAAAACAATAGAAAAGGTCGGTCATAAAAGCAATTTTTTAATTAATTTATTAGTTATATCATTTTATCATTTAAAAATGAATTTAAAATTATGAGTAGTCAATCTTGGAGCCAAACTGTGAAAACTTACTGAGTTTCCTAGAAGAACTAATTAGTTTAAGACAGTACTTGTATTGTCTACTTGGACCTTGTTTATAAATAGGACTTATTATACTTGTATAGTTTCTAATTAGCAAAGAGAAGAAGTGTTAGTCAAAAATCAAAACAAAGTATTTTTATTTTCAGATGAAAATAAAGATATTTTGTTTATAGAAACGAAAAATATAAAACATTATGGACATAGAGGTAAAAAGAATTAACATACAGCTTTGTTTTTAAGAAGTTACAAGTAAGAAAACATTAGAAGCATTTAAAAATAATAATTTTTTGAATGATATTTTGATACATTTCTGTTTTGGCAACCATTATGCCATGGCAATATCACATATTGTTACAATAGATATGAAGTTGAAGTGATAAGGAAAATTTTACCTAGTTTTTGACTGGGACCCAAACCACATTTGGTTTGAGTCCCAGTCAAAAACTTTGCTTATCCTAATTATAAAGGTAAATCAGATTGGGTTGGCAAGTGTTTCCTGAATAGCCTGCCATGACCAATGGTTCACAGACATGGAAAACTACTAAAATTTTATTTTATGTTGCATGTAATGATAGGAAGCTCTTGTTAAATAGTATCATGTCAATGTTTATATTAGTGACATCATTCAGAGAGTGTTGATAGTTTCAGAATTTCTTGAAATGAATAGTTACAACATTTAAATTTAATCACTTTTATTCTCCAAATTTTAATTAAAAACAGACTTAAAAAATGGATAAAAAATCGCCTCAGAATTTGTGATGCATATACAGATATACATATATCTTACACTTTGGGGGAAAAAGCACATATTAAAGAATACCTTACATTACTTAAACAGCTTCCCTGTTGGCAGTGTGGTTATAAGAGGGCATTTTCCCCCCTCTCTCTATCTCTAGTAACTGTGGTTTGAATCTAATTTATAGATAAACCTATATTTTTAAAAATATTTATTAACCTGGTTTTTGTGTGTGTTGTGTTTATAACTGATTGTGACAATTTTTTGTAGAAGTTTTGTGACACTGTTATAGTTACCAAAACTGGGCTTTGGTACCAAATCAGCTTGTTGTATTTAGTTGTTTCTTTGAAAGTTTTACTTTGCACTGATAATTATATATATGATTTATTTGAATTTTAACACTGAAAATTTTAATATAGGAGATGTGTATGATCTAACAACCATAAGATTTAAAAAAACTTTATGAATAATCACATATATACAAGGTCTGTTCAAAAAGTATCGGACCTTATTTTTTTCCGCGTAAACCAATGATGCGAGAGAGGCCTCCTTCGGTGGAGTTGTGGAGGGGACAGTCATGCACAGCCCTGAATTTTTTCACGCCTGCAGAAAGCGTCAGTCGTTGGCAATCGGCGTATGAGTGAGGTCATGTAGTGCGCTCTCGTCGGATTTCACTAAGCTGGAAAATGACTGAACAACGTGAGCAGCGATATTACATCAAATTTTGCCAAAAACCTTGGCGATACCCGAGTGTAAACCATTCGCAAGATTCAGCGGGCTTTCGGGGACGATCCTCGAGGCCAAAAAAAGCGCGGCAGGTCCGCAGCAATATCAAAGGTCATGTTGACAGTTTTTTCGACTCTCGTGGGGTGGTGTGTCGTGAGTACGCACCACAAGGCCAAACCATCGCAAAGGAGTACTACCAGGAGGTCCTTCGTCGTCTTTCCGAT